TAATAATTAAAGCATGTAAAAAAAAAACTCATATTGAGCAAATGAGAATATAAATATCATTAAATTTAGGTAAAAACTATTTGGCAATCAGTAAATATAACGTGCAACTTCATATAATCCTGATAAAAAAACTTTCGAAGTTTCAAATGTCTAGACGCTAAAAATATTAGCGATTCTAAAGCTTAACGTTTGTCTTCCAACAATAGCAGAACATTTAAAATGCAAATGGATTTGTATAATTTTAACAATTTTCCCTTATTAAATAAATTTTGAAAAATTAATTGGGATCACCAAAAATTTATTTTAAATTTATATAAATTAAGAAAATAACAATGCTTCTACTTAAGCCATTAAGAAAATTGAACATTTTAAAATCGATTTAATAGTTTTTTTTAAGAAAAAACTATTTTAATACTTGCTATTGTGTAAATATAAAGATTAGAAAGATATGTGTTGTATTAATCGCTACATGCTTTAACTAAAGATATTTGCTAAAATACTTTATGAACATATGCACATGTAATGTGAGCTTCAAATCCTTAAAATCTTAATTCTTAAATTCTTTCTCATTTATTTGATGACAAATTATTCCTTCACAGTCAAAATTTGAAAACGTGTAATGATGCAAAAACTACGAACAATCGTATGCAATTCTGAGTTTTTTCTTCAATGTTATTTCGAAAAAATAATCTTAAAGATGTAATTTAACCATTCTAATGCAACAGCGTAACAAAAAGTTTCTAAAAATTGAGAAAATGCGCGAAATTAGCTCCAAAACAAATCATAGAAGAATTTTAAAACCCCATCTCTTAAAAAATAAAATAGCATACACTCAGCAAAAGGCTCAAGTTAAGTAGAGAGAGAGTAATGTGTGCAAAAGATGTCCGTTGGCAGCCGGCATCATTCGAACTAAGGACCTCCAGGACATAATAGGATACTCTATCTATCATAGTTATACACCCGAGACAGAGAGAGTTAGAGAACTTTGCATTATGGCCGTCACAATAACACATTATCACATACGAATTTTCAGTTTTTGAGGAACAAAAAGTTGCAATTTAAGAAATATGATCTCAATAGCTCAGTCACGATGATCGGTAAATATAATTTCATATTTTGTTGTTTTCGTTGCACTGAAAAACTTTCTAGCGAATGGGTTGTATGTCAAAATGTGTCATTGCGGCAGCCACTATATAAAGCTTTTTAAGCACGCTTTCCCACTAACCAATACAATAGTATTAAGGTCGAATAGCATAATAGCCACGAAGGCAAATTTCTCCCAATAATTGGTCCAAGACTTCCCTTATCTTCTGAATTAGGTTAAAAATTACAAGTTTATGGAGTTTAACATTAGTAGTCATAAACCCCAAAAAATAGGCCAGCTTTTCAATGATGGTTAAAAAATAAATAAACTAGAGACGACATAAGTCGTGGGGGCTCAGGGGATAGGGTGTTCGCCATCCAATGAGGTGAACCGGGATCGAATCCCAACAATGGTTAATCGATACGAATTACGCACCCGGCTTCCACCAATCACAGTGCTGACATAGAATATCCTGAATGGTAGACGGATCATGGGTTAGAGCCCCCTTACCATCCAGCTAATCGTGGGAAGATTTTGTGCTTTTCCTCTCCGTGTGCAAAAATGCAGGTTAGTTCCATCAAATAGTTCTCCACAAAGGCAAATGTCTTCCAACACTTTATCCAGGAGTTCCCTTTTCTTCTGGATTTTGTACAAAATTGCAAGGTTACGGAATTTTACATTAGTAATCGTAAACCCAAAAATGGGTCGGCTGTTCAACTACGGTTATAAAGCAAAATAAAAACGACCTGCAGGGCGTTGGACTTGTGTTCGTGAGAACGGGATTTTGAATCCAGCCGGTCTAGGTATCCCTGTGTATTAATTGGTTACTAGTCACGTTAAATCTGTCGTGGTCACTAAGTCCTCCGATTTCTTATAACAAATCAATACCTCTAGGGGAACTGATCCAGGAGTTTCCTTGTCTTCTGGATTTGGGGCTACTGAGTTGTACACTGGTTGTCATAAACTTAAATTTGTGTCGGCTGTTCAACGATGGATAAAAATTAAAATTGAAGCGACGTATATAATCAAATCATACAGACATCCTGAAATGGGGGAACCAACTTTTCCTGGAACGGGGGTGTACAACTATAGTAGTTAGAGGGGCGAAATACTATTACGAAAGTTTTTGCTTAGAATTCTACCGGCAGCTTACGAATCGCTTTCGCATGCATTTCTTCCTCATCATCGCTTTTGACTTTTTACATAGAGATTAAGTTATCTTAAAAATCTGATTGAACCGAATGAATAAATAAATATAATTTATGTCAAGCACTTTAATTTGTTTCATATTTTTTTTTTTTGTGCAGTGAATACAAAAGAAAAATGAATTCAAGGTAAGCTAGAAAAACGTTTTTCTTAATTATCTAAATTTCAAGTACAACGAGCCAGTCCTAACAATTTAACTGACTGACCTCAAATATATTAAATTATTGTATTATATTATATTATATATAATTATTA